TTTATTTCCCATGGCCGCTGTTCAAGTGGCACATGTTCATGGCATCTTCATTTCCCATGTTTGCTGTTCAAGTGGCACATGTTCACGGCATGTTCATTTCCCATGGCGGCTGTTCAAGTGGCACATGTTCATGGCATCTTCACTGGTATGCCTGCGGCTCAAGTGGCAGGTGATTTCGACACATGATGTCACGCGTGCTCACGCCCATGTCATCCTTGTTATTCGTTTGAGCCGAATGTGCAAGATTTCCTACGATCTGGGCAACCGTACTGGTTCTTAGTACGGACTATGGGAATGTGCTATATAGGGTTTAGATGTGCCCTTTGCTTACTGGTGCTTAGTAGGGCATAAGGGAATATAGTCCCCATATTATATATTCCCTTCTTCCCCGCTAACCCCCAGCAAGTTTGGCCAGCAGGGAGAGCCGTTTCCACAGCCCCTTGCATCTTCATTTCCAGAGCTTGAGGGATCTAAGAGCATGTCCTGAAAGCCCTAAACCCTAAACCATATGGGGTCTTCCCAAAATTAGGGGGCACTTTTGGGTCCCCAGAGTAAGGAATAAGGATTACGGTCTATCTTGGGGTCCCCTTACTTAGGGAAACTCCCATATTGTCATCCCTACCAGCAAGCCAGAGGATGTCCTGAATTAGTTGCTATAAGAAGGAAACCTTATTTTTTGCGATATACCCATAATATCGTAATTTCAATGAAGTTCCAAAACAACAACCCAGTAGAAGCCAGCAAGCGGCAGGATGTGCTGAAGATCATGAGGCACTTCGACACGCGAAAGGATGGCCAGGTAAGCTACAATGAATTCTGCGACGCACTGCTTCCCAGCCAAAACCCAGAGGGTCCAAGTACCCAACAATGAGGCACTTGGGCTTGTTGTTACAAGTCAGTTTTGGGGTAAGTATATGATTATTGGGTATTTGGGCCCTTGGGGAAAGATGGGAGTTTCTCGAACCAATCCCCACGTAATCTCAGCTAATTTCGCTTATGATTTGTTCATATCCTTAGGGGCATAGGTACAGATGCAGCGGTGACAACAACTCGCCAAAATACATGCAGTATGTGGAGGGATTCATCATAGTCCCCATCCAGCTACCTCAGACTCTTGCGGTATCCAGCCCTTCGAAATTTGAATAGTTGCTGACGCTTGTCATTATGATCATCAGCTCTATCCTCGTTCGGGTATGGTGTCTTCGGAGAAGAACATGTATATTATGTAAAGGCTCGTATGAGGTACTGTCAATATCCGCCTTATTCAGGGACCTGTAACAGTGGACATACAGGGCACTCTTTTAATTTAGTATACCGCCCTGAAATAATCCCTGATAAGGAACCCATGCCCATTCAATCCTGTAGGAAGTATTCATCCCCGTAATCCTCTACATAATAATCACAATTTCGATTTCATTTTCCATTTTCTTTTCCATTTGATTATCCACTATAGTAGTGTGGGAAGTACCGACTGTAGCTCATAATAAAATCTCCCACACCAACTCCAAAACCCCTAACCTAAACCCCCAACTAGCTGACGTAAACCTCCTTGGTTCAACGCAATCCGAAGCAGTTTTTTTTTGCTGGAGCTTTGAGCTAGATGTTCCTAGACACAGTGGGATGGAAACCACATCCTGAATCTTAAGGGGATTCCATAGGCTTAAAAGGGTATAGGGTTCAGTCTAAAGAGCTGGGCCCCGGAAGCCCTTATCTTGAAAGCATAATCTGAAACCTACTCCCAAAGATCTAGCTCCTAAAGCCTCAACCCTGTACCTCAGAATTCTCAACCCTAACCTTCAGACTCCAAACTCCAACGCTCTGAATCCCCGAAAGCCCCTAACCCTACTTGAGTTGGCCTTTGGGATATACTTAAATATATTCCCTTATTGGTTTCATAGGGACCCTATATACCTAACATTTTTCAAAGGGCTTCAAAGGCCAACCAAGCTACCCTAAACCCTAAGCCCTGAACCTTAAACCCTGAACCCTAACCCCCAGGTTAGATGCTGACTGGACTACTGCAATGCTCCAAACGAAGCCGCCCTTGGATGACTCTGGGCCTAGTTGTTTTCTGGAGGGTATTCAGGGATACGCAGATACTTGTGTGTAAATATATGTGACACGTCTCTCTTTGTATGTATGTATGTATGTATGTATGTATGTATGCATGTATGTATGTATGTATGTATGTATGTATGTATGTATATGTACATATATATATATATGTATCTGTACATACACAGTGAGCGGAATATAGGGGGAAACTTGCGCGCACAAGTGGGATGATAGCCCCTTCATTTCTGGACATCGCCATGGTTTTATTACGGTTTAGGCGAGTGTTGTCTTGTGCTGTGAGTTTTGCCTTACACAGTGCGGGCTGTCGATGCCTGCATGCTCCCTACCATATATATATATATACTATATACGTTGCATGAGGTGGTCTTAACCCCCCAAACTAAAAGTTAGTTTCTCAGTTGCAGCAATGCTCCCCCAATGCTCAGACTGGTCAGGTGGGGAAAGTCCACTGAAACTTCCTCATTCCCTTTAAGGAGGTGGTTCCTATGTGCCCCTGAAAAAAGCTCACAACCTACTTGCGACCTCTACATTTTTGCCTTCCAAGCATTGAATACTCTCCTCAGGAGCGCCTTTAGTAAGGCTAACTTTAGGTAACGTCTTAAACCCTGAACCCTAAACCCTAAGCCCTAAGCCCTGAGCGCTACAGACCTCCCACAAGGACTCCCATGACATCGGCTATGCCGAGCGGGCCATGGTCAAGTCAGCAGAGCGTGCAGAGACGACACAGGCAGGCTGGCGGCAAACTTTCTGAAAGAAGGACTTACGATTTAGGGTTTAGGGTTAAGGGTTCCTAGTAGGCAATGGATATGATTCATATATGGTCCCTATATACTATATTCCCTTGTTCCCTGCTAAGAACCAGAAAGAGGAACACAACAACAGGGAATTACCCTTAGTCTCACTATGGCATGGTCTGCGCAACTAGCATAGACCTTGATAACAATTTCGGAAGTTTGGAAAATGGGACTAGAATATTGGAGTAGTCATGTCCAATATGTCAGGCAAACCTCTTCTAGAATTCTTCTTTAGAAATTACGGAGCGGAAAAAATGATTGAAACTGGTATTTCATCGAGAATGATATAGTGGCCACTACAGAGGGATCCTGCCTCTCAATGCAAAGGGAGTAGGGAGGACTTGGAGTAGCGAGGCTGTCGGGACATTTGACAAATTCGTGTTCTCTAGAATCGCAACCGTTAGACATTACTTTCCCTTACTCAGGCCTGCTTGAAAGTTCTTAGTTGGGTCTTACTGGTTATGTAGTGATCAGAGCATTAATCTTGCGGGTGGGGTTGAAGGGCTGATGGCCTACGGCCTAGGGGAGAGCTTGGCTTTCGGGTTTGAAGAGCAGCGGCTGCCTGATGGCACAACTTTAAGGTAGAGGGATCTGTGCGGATCAGAAGGGAATGATATTGGGGTTAAAATTATGTGTGCTCACAGGACTCACTGAGAAAGTTCTGAGTGTACCTGCTTGGAGGGTCAGGAGGACGTGGTATATGTACGTTTAACCCGTAGAACCCATATGACAACCACAGTTATCCACAGCATTAACCTACTTCATAAGTCACCCTGACCCTGAACCCCACAGTAAATCCAGATCCCTAAATCAGATAGCAGTTTGCATCTCCTTCTCCATCATGAACCCACTTACAAAGGTCCCCTGACCCTCCAATTCGGATGAAAAATCAAATTTGCTACCCTTAATTCCTATATAATCTGTATAAAGCCATAGAAATTTCGTTTCACAGGGCCCCGAAAAATACACTAGCCAAGTGCGGTTATGAAAACTATTTGCAACAGGCTTGGCTTGACCTAGTTGGGAGTTCCCAATATTGGGGGTACCATTTTGGGTGCCAGTAATAAGGGTTTAGCGTTCAGGGGCTATAGCACCTCGGGATCTATATTGCGGCCCCCCTACTTGTTACTAATGTTACAGTTCGTGTTATTATCATTCTTACTCTTATCACGGTTATTACTACTACTAGTACTACTCCTACTACTACTACTGCTACTACTACTACTACTACTACTACTAGTACTAGTACTAGGTTCCCGGCGGGAAAAAACCCAAGAAACGGAAACACAATGATATGATACAATGGTATCAT